AATACTATAAATATCTGATGCAAAAGTATGTTCTTTTCTTAAAGAACTTCGGGTGCTATATATGGAAGATTACCATATATACTATTTAATGGCTTATCAACAGGACCACAAAATCCGAAATCACCAATATACCATTTATGAGTCATCAAGGAATATAATATATTTCCAGAATACAAATCTCTATGTATTAAATTTTCTTATGAATTCTGTAAAGTGCTTTAATTATATCAAAAGTAATCATAATTCTTTCTTCCCATGCAAGTTGTTGATGATTTTGCTTTAAAAACTTTCTCAAATCTATGTCCATTTTAAACGTTATAAGCATATAATTTTTATCATCTGGTTCTTGTGTTATGCCAAAACATCTTACTACTTCTTCCCATTTATTACTTATACTTATATGTGATTTTACCTGAAATAAAGCGTTATTAGCTTCTTTTATTAGAAATACTATTGAATTTTCTCAAATTACTTACCTCATTGAACCAATTTTCAGAACTATCTAGTTCCTTAAGTACTACTTCACATTTATCTAATCTTTTCAATTGTTTTTCCTTAGAATCCCATTCACAATAAGGTCCATCGATCCATTCTGCCATATAAACATTAGAGAATCCACCACTAGTTAAGTATGTTATATTTCGTAGGCGGGTATACGGAATCCATTCTATAATCTTATTCGGTGCGATTGATTCCATTTGGCATTTCTGTACTAAGCTATCAATGTCACTATTTCCAGATATCCAATTTGATTTAGTTTCTAAGTAGATTCGAATACAATGTTCACAATAAAATGTTGCAAACATTTTTGGAAGCAATTTTCACAATTTCTTTTTGTCCCTTCATTTGAAATGATTTTATAATAATCATGATCTTCAGTTAATATTTTTAACGTCTCCGATCTTGTTATTTTATCCTGTTTAAGGGTTTTATCACTAAGTATAGTTTTTCGTAATGATTCAAATCTTTCTTCGAGATTTTTGTAATTATCATAATCTATTAATGCGTATGCTCTATTAATTGCAGTAAAAACTAATTCATTAGGAATAGCAGACATATGATTTAGCATTATCAATTGATTCTTATTTTCATTTATATTTGGAGAATTAACCGTAAATCTTTCTAAATCCATGCTATCTAAATTTTGAACTGGCTTAGACATAATAATGCTTGAAGATTTTTTTTCTATAAAATGGTTTATTTCACTATTATTATTTTGATCATCAAATTTTGTATTTTCCGTATTCATAATTCCTTGCAACCTATTAATAATTTGCTGAATATCTGGACGATTATCTGGCACACCATCCCAACAATCTATAAATAATATTAAATTAACCAATTTTAATAAACTATTTCAAGATTACATTTGTAACATATTATAATCACCTGTATAAAGCTTGAAGTATTCTTCAGACGTTCCTTTAATTTTTTCTTCACGATAACCTTGCAAAATATCCAACGTTAGCAATGCATCATGATCTCTATTTGGAAAGGGAGGATGCCCACTTGATAGTTCCCAAAATATAACACCGAGACTATAAACATCACTTCTTTTATCTAACTTATAATCTATTGTTCCAAGCCTTTGGGATCAATGTATGGAATTACACCAATTAATTTACCAGTCGATCTTGAAGTTTCTTCAATCCTTCTTGATAGTCCAAAATCTGCCAACTTAATTATATTTTGGTGAACTAAAACATTAATAGTGTAAATATTTATAGTAAAGCCAGCTCGCACAATTACCAGGTCACGGTGTACAATTCCCTCATTATGCAAACATTCTATGGCAGTAGCAATTTGGAATGCTAGTTTATATTTGACATCCCAATTAAATTTGTTGAAATTCTTATGTAAATAGTCTCTAAGTGAACCACCATCAGCATAATCCATTACTAACATGTAATTTTCAGATTTTATATTTGAATTTTCTAAAAAAAATTTAATTTAGTTATTATTATTTTTATATTTTTAAGGATAAAAAATAAACAAATATTTTTTCATACCTAAATAAGTTACATATTTAGTTATTCCAAAGAGTCGTATGACGTTATCATGAAAATTGTAATTTAAGCTGAATGATTGTAATTGTAATCGGTATGATTAAACAAGTAATATTTTTCTTTACGAAAAAAATTATTCAATTTAATTACCTCATTAACAATCTCTTTAATTGTAATTTCATCAGCATTTTCAAATTCAAACCATTTTCGCATAAATTCTGCTTTATAGATTTTACCAAAACCGCCAGAACCGATTATTAAATTTCCTGAATTCGAAAAATCTTATATGGCCATTATTTATTCCACTTTCAAGCCATTTACTAAAATCATTTTCATTATTTTCAGTTGGTTGAGTCATATTTGTTTTTTGTTTTAAGAAATTAAAAAAAAAAGAAAGTTTTTTTGCTTTATCTTCTGGATCTTCATTAAATGGGCTTTATTTCGTGACGAAGGTTGTCTTTCATAATCGGAGCACGGAGTACAATCACATCCTAATTTGAAACATAAAAGGAGGAACATTTTAATATAAGAAACTCCGGTTTGACAATCAACTGATCTAATTTTTTTTATTTAATAAGTTTTATCTGTTGTCATTCTCAAAGTCAATCCTAGGAGAGATTCTATATTTACTTGTGTAGTCAGCAACACTACCATTTTTATGTGAAGTAAAATGATAAGTTTCGATTTTGACATATTAAATAGTTTCGATTTTCAACAATTTTATATTTTTTACAAAAATTCTAATCTAAATCTTGGCTAAATGCAAAAGTTTCCAAGAGTGATGTTCGTGCAGTTTTGTTAAATTTTGATACACCGGTTATGACCGATATGGCGCAAAAATTCCCTTCTCATTCTACTTTCTTGACCCATGTGATGATTAGTGACATAATTGCGGACAAAACCCTAAACCCAATTTGGCTAAAGCGGAAACTTTTCAGAAATTACGGTATTTCGACGGTTTCGATGGGTTTCGGATGGTCTCGAAAGTTTCGACGGGTTTTAACTGGTTTATTGTATCGCAATGTAGAATATAAATTGTAAGCACAGGAACTTGTTGAAGAATTAGAAGAATACCTTAATGATAGAGATTGGAATCGGGTTTACTTTTTATATCCGGATTTAGAAATCGGAACCGGATTTAAATCCGAATATCGAATCTCTATTTCAAACTAACAAATTATTTTTTTATCATATAGTCGCACATAAAAGAATTTCATATTAATGCTATCAAACATCAATTATGTTGCATGAGAAGTTTGTAGCTCATTTCAAATTATTTCTATGAAAAAAAACAAGTTGTTCCTTTTTCATCATCAACTAATTCACACCTTAATTTAAAAGCAAATTTTTGATGGTTTTTTATTTTTTCCAATAAAGAGATTAATTTAGTTTTAATTTTGAGCAACAAGCCAGGATCAAATAAATCCGAATTGGATAAATCTGAATCTAGATGATGATTTTTCAAATGAATTTTAATGAATGAAGAAGAAGATAGGGATAGTGTCATGAGTTTAAATAGAGAAATACTAATTAGGAAATAAATTATTTAATTGGACTTGAAGAATAAATTAATTCATTTCCAATATGTAAATTTTTTGATTTATTTTCTTATCTATTATAAATATAAAAAATGACCTTTGATATATATGATTTGTAAATAAAAATTTTAAAATTCAAAAATTGTATTTAAATATCAAAAGGTTTCAATTTTATCTTTAATAAAAATATTTGGCAAAATGTTTTGACAGATTTCAATTTTGAAATCTTCAGGTTTTGTCTGGCAACCTTATAAAAAAAGGGGAAATCTACAAATTTTAAGTAATTTAGTTATTAAGTTAGTTTTTTGTTCACATGATACTGTTTAATAGTAAACCAATAAAAAAATTTTTGACTACACATTTTTTATTTACAAATCACTTTTTATTATAATAAATAATAATAACTTTATATTTTATTCAGTATAATACTGCAGAAAATTCTGTAAAAATTTATTCAGTTAACATCTTAAAAGCCACCCTTTATTTAAGAATATTTGTTTAAAAAGTCAGCCAAATAAATCTGAATTAATTAACAAAGAGTTATTTTAATTGGGCGTGTTGAAAATGTTGTTGATTTTATTAAATAGAAAAGAAACTGAATTGATACTAATCATCATATAATTAATTATCACATTTTAGATCAAGAAAATTATTAAACATAAACTTACATATTTTGATTAAGTTAAGAAAGTAGTCTATTAGCTGATAACTATTTAACATAACTAAATAAAGCTAAAGAATTTATGTACATTTAAATGAAATAGATTTGTATTCTCTATAATTTATGCTGGTTTTGAATTATTCTATACAGATTTCTCAAATCTAATTGGCAAAAAAATTACTTTTGATTTAATTAAAATAATAAAATCTTATTTTAAGTTAAAAATTTGAAAAAAAATTCTAAAAAAATATTGATTTGATAAAGTTAGAATTGTTTTTCTTTTTGTATTAATTTATTATAACAAATAAAAGATAAATAATACACTTTCTTAACTAAGAATAAGTAAATTAAATTATTATAAATCAATTATTTAATAATTATATATTATAATTATCTTTTAACTAATTAAATCTTTATTTTTTCATTTGTTATTTTAACTTTTTTGATTCTAGGAAATTAATTAGTTAAGTAATTTTTTTGAACATATAAAGTAAATTAATTATCAATAAATGTCATTATTTTTATTATTTATAAAAATAGTTAACTATTTATCTAAAAATTATATAATATAATTAACTATTTGATAAATTTATAAATTATTTAGATTTTTTAAATATTTTAAAATAGTTGTAAAAAAGTTTATAGATTACTTTAATTTTGTTTTTAAGCAAATTTAATTTTTTTAAGGATTTTTCATTTATTTTATAATTTTAAAAAATTCAACTATATTTAGATTATTAATATAAAAGTTCACATAAATACAAATCTATTTTTTCATTTTTTAAAAAAATAACTTGTAATTTTTAAATAAAATACCACATCAATTTTCTGCTGACCATTAAGTAAAATTTTAATATTTAGAAAATATAATATTTTTTTATTTATATTTAATAGTTAATTATTTTTAATACAAAGTTTTTGTCAGATTTTTATAAAAGAAATCTAAAATATTATAATTCTTTTTACTTATTTCTAATAATTTAAAAGAAATTTATATAATAATAAAATTGTTATTTCAACTTCAATTTAAATCTACTATTATTTTTATATAAAATTTATCAAAAAATATTATGATTTTTAATTTAAATTAGAACTTGCATTAATTCTTCTCTAAATGATATAATTATAATAGTAACTTAAAAAATATTTAAAATATTAATAAATCAAACTTTAAAAGTACTACATTAATATAAATATATGATTGAAAAAATTAATATTAATCTATTTATCCTTTATTCTGAAACTCTTTAAAACTCTCTCTGAAGTATTGATTAAAGCTAAATCCCTTTATTAATTTTGTATTAATACTAATTTTTCAATCATTAGTATTATACAATAACATTATACATATTAAAATTTTAATTATATTTTATTTTAATTGAAAAATAATTATAGCATAAAAAAATAAGATAAAGTACTAAAATTATATATATATAATACTTACATATATTTAATAATAAAATTGTAAAATTTAAAGTAATTTTAATTATAAGTTATTGAATTATTGCATTTTTATAATTCTGATTACTTTTATCTTGCATTATATATATATATTATAATAATAAATAAAGACAAAAAGTTATTATTACTAACTTTAAGAATAACTCTTTAGGTTCAGATAATATATTTTAAAGGCATAATATATAATGATAATTTTAAAAGTTATAAGAGTTGTAAAATAAAAAATAAATAAAAATAAAAAGTATTTTAAAGTTAAAAAAAAGTTTTAAAATGAAAGAGTTTTTAAAAAAATGAAATTATTTTTCTTTAAAATAAAAACAATTAAATTTTATGATAAAGAAAATTAAAATATATATTAGATTTATTATAATATAATTAATTAGATTTTGAGACTTTTATATAATAATTATATATAATAATAATTATCTATATAAAGCATAAAGTAAAAAAAATATTTATTTTATAATATATAGAAAAATTTCTAGAAAAATTAGATTCTGAGAAATTTTGATTAAATTAAGAGTTTAATAAATTTTATTATAATAATATTAAAAATTAAAATATTTGATAAATGTCTAAATTTAATTTTACTAATTTTTTATTAAGGTGTTAATATAATTTTATATTTTATAAGCTTTAATATAATTTTAATTTTCTAAAGATTTATATTAATTGATATTTATCATAATATTATAATAATTTGAGATATCATAGGAAATAATAATAGCTTCTTTTTAGAATAATAATTAGTTATAATAACTAAATATATTTGAATAATTATTAAAGATACACAAATTAATTTGTTATACAGTCAATGCTTTTTATAACGAACTGATAGTTCCATTAAAAAAAAGTTCGTTATATAAATTACATGCTTTTTATATAAACTATTACACTTTTTATAATGAACTATTATTAAAATTTAAAAATTGTGAGTTCATTATATTTAACATTCATTATAAAGAGGTTTATTATAATTAACTTTGATTATATATTTTAAAAAGATTTTGAAGTTTTCTTTTTTTATTTTCTTTTATAACTTTCATAATATATTTAATATTTTTATTAGTGATTTAATAAAACTTTCTAATAATTTAATAAAATTTTACTTTTAATATATTATATTTTATAATGATTTTAAAGAGTTTTTATTAATAATTTTTAAATTATAAGACTTTTTCTTATAGTTCCTACTAATATTATAGAATTAATTTTTGTGATACAATAATTTTAGTTTATTAGTTTAAGAATAAGATAAATATAAAAATATTTTTATATTGAAAACATAAGAAAAATTATTACAAAAATCAGATTTTAAAATTATTAATAAAATTTTGATATTTTAGTTTTGATGTTATTAAATTAAAATATAATGTTTTAATTTTAATCAAAAAAAATTTTTAGAATCTAATTTTTATGTAAACTTTCTATATATAGGAGGATTTTTAGAAAAATCAGGTTTAAAGAAATTTTTTACTAAAATTAAGAGCTTAATATATTTTAATCTAATATTATCAAAAAACTAAAATACAATAAAAACTCAAATTTTTTAAAAAATTTTCAGAACTGAATTTCTCTAGTAATCAATCTATATAGATAAATTGCTATAAAAAATATTATAATTTATTTATTAATAAACTATTATCTTATTAGTAATATTAAAAGGTCTAATAGCTTTGCCTTTAAATAAAAAATTAA